GGGGGGGGAAAGACCAATAAAACAACTGAATCATTTATTGACTATTAGGCCCCCAAATGCTTAAGCTGTCTTGTGCTCCCCGTTACAGAAATATTCAACTTTCATCACAAATCTTGGTGGAGATGAGTGGAAGTACCTGATGTCCTTTCACAACGGACCTCTGTGGTGAGGATGCAGAGAAACAGGCACAGTTGCACTTTTCCTGGGACAGTCTGTCTGCCTCACTAGGGAAACAATTTGATGGGAAGTGACTGATTTGTTTGGCAGAGAAATGCTGTAATGAAAAAGCACAATAATACAGGTGGTGGCAAGGAATGGAATGGCTAGTAGCAGGGTGCTGGCAGACCATGGAAGCTTTATCGATAGGTGAACGTTTGTGTAATCGTGGAATGTTTGTCACATTTGATGTGATGGGTGAGAAGCCTTTCTTTCTTCTACAGCAGGAGATCTCCACATGGGTTCACGCAACACCTACACACCTGCCACGATGCTGGGACACCACTGGGGCTCTTGTGACATGTCACACACAGATCAGTGGAACAGCTGTGCCTAGGGTGCAGTTAGGAGCAAGGCCTCCGCTTCACTCTGCAAAAACATAGATTTGACTTTCACTGCATGGGAGTGTGAAGCAGGAGCCAACAGTGTGGACTTTATGCTTAAATTTGGCAGGTCTGCACTTTTTGAGGTGCGTTATCTGAGAGAAAGGGAGAGGCAGGCAGGGGCAGACAGCCCCTGAAAAGGTCAGAACAGCTTGAAGCAGCAGTGTAAAATGTCTCAGCATTTGCCCTGCCCTCTTCCATGACAAATAAAGGGCTGGGGTTTTATCCTTGAAAGTATTATGCATTCAGGTCCTAATAACCAGACATAATAAGCATCACACACACAAACGTGGAAAGCATTAGACCTGCCTATTGTGGACACAACTGTGCCTGCAAAGAAGAAGGAATTACCTAAATCCCAGTTGCTGTCTTCAGTCTGTGATTCATTTCCAACAGGGTATACTCCATTCTGAATGGCTCCTGTCAAGTCCTGTGAGCGAAAGCACAGTTCAGTATCGACATGGCTGCTTTTCTCAAGTGCTTGCTGCAGGAATACTACTGATTTAGCCAGCTACTGCTCCTTTCCTGTGAATACCGCTCACCTGTCCTCAGCCATACTCTGACAGTGTTCACATCTTTACCTTCAAGTTTGGGTAGCAGCCAGCCAGTGGTTTGGAGTGTTAATCTTTTGCCCTGTTTATGCTGATTGCTCTAGTGGGTGTTAGAACTTGTTTCTTTTAGTGTGATCAAGGACCTCCATTCTTTTAGGCTAAGTACTTTAGAAAGTGGTCCTATAGATGACTAGAATGTGGCAGAGCAAAACAGCCCCCTGGCTTAGGTGATGGAGTGGCTGCTTGCTGCTTTTGAGTTTGCCCTTGAGATGGCAGCAGTGGATCGTGGATCTAAATCACCTACCTGTATGCAGGCACATGGAGCAGTGACTTTGATCCCTCCCAGGGGGGCATCAGTGACTTATAGCAGGCACATACACACACACACACACAGACTTATAGCATAACACATGGCACATACAGAGAATTTCATTTTAAGGGTGTATTCTGATCAGTGTCATAGATTTAAATTCAAAGAAAGTCCACTGATTTGCAAAGAATTACTCTTGGTGTGACCACAATCAGAATTCATTTTGACATACACACTCTCCTCCAAACTGCATTCATGTATTTACAATGTGACCTTTGAGATGAGGTGAGATGAACATCCCTCAGAGATGGTCTGGGCTGAGCTGAGACTTCCCTGCCACAGAGGTTTGACTACATGTTTCTCCCAAGCCCCTCCGGCCCTATCATCTATTATGTCATGTGTTTTCAGACACTTTCTTTCTTCCTCATTTTTAATTCTAAGTGCTTGTTATCTTTTACGTTTAAAAAAATATATATAAAAATTAAAATATCCAAACAGTAGCCAGCTGTCCTTGCCTTTAGTCAACAGAGAACATTGGACTGGACATCTGGAAGGCAGGCTGGTTTGTACAGAAGCAGCCTAGATAAATTCCAGGGCTGAGCATTTCCACATTCCCATATGGAAACGCTTACAGCAAGGCTATTTGCACTCCCCATTTCTTCTGCATTGTAACAGATAGAGCTAGGAAATACCAGAGATGAAGAGACAGCCGTACTCATTCTCAGCTTCCTGTGCCGTGACCAGAAACATCTTTCCCTTGGCTAGGCTACCTGTTTCACTTCTGCAGCATCTTCAAAAAGTAAACCCTGACTATGACACTCTCCTTGTAGTGATTAGGGCTTCTTTTTTTTTTGCCCAACAGATTATTTCAGACTTTGCTCTATTGTTTCTTTGTGCTGTGAGAGTGTTGCGCGTGGCGATCACACCCCTTCATTTCAGACAGCCTCATTTTTCCTGCCATGCCACCACTGTAGGTGAGCACAGCCCCACCGAAAGCCAAATCAAAAGGAGGCAAGACCCCAAAGAATTGGGACATCGTGGGATGGGGACTGTTAATAGCTAACACACAAATTTTGACAGCTACACAAGCTGTATTTAGCATCAGTGTGACTTGCTGCTCAGGCAGGAGAGTGGGCTTGGGCTTTGCTAAAATCACCCGAATGACCACATCGGTAGGAAGGCAGTGAAAGTCATCTGTGTAGCAAGGCTGAGCAGGAAATATCATCTGATGGGGAAACAGGAGGGAGAAAGGGCTTCTGCAGGGCTGGCACTTACCTTCATTAACTGCTCCATCTCTGCCACCATGAGGTGGGTGAAGTTCTGCAGAAAAGCCTCCTTCATCTGGGAAGCTGCTATTTTCTCCTGCAACTCAGCAGTTCTCTCCAGTGCCTGGAACAAGGCTGCACCCACCAGCAAGTACACAAAGTAGCCAGCCACCAGCAGCCCTGTCTGCAATTTACCACTGCACATGGCCTTTGGTAAGACAGGACAAAGGTTGGGGAGTGAAAGGTGGCTATTGGTAAATCCCTCACACTCCTGGGAAGCCTCCTCCAGGTAGGAAGAGCTCTCACATCTCCAGTTTCCACTGGGATCCTGCACAGACAGGGACAGCGAGCTGTCACATACATCCATCGGGAAGTTGGGAAAAAAAAAACCAAACACACCCCTACCAAAAAAAACACAAAAACTTTCCACTCTCTGGGCTGCTGTCTTTTTAGGGAGTTCCTCTTGTTTGTGAAACTTTGCCTTGCCGAGTTCTCAGGAAAAGTGGGTCAGGATGTAAGGAGCTGGCAGGTGGCCATCTCCTGCTCAAGAGGCTCTGAGGACAGGTGAGGACAGATGCAAAAGGCCCACAGGAGAGCTTGCTTGGAAAAACATTCTTTTCCCTCCTCTGCCTCCTGCTGACTCTGAGAACTGAACTCCAGGGCAAGACCCAATGACCCCAGAAGCTCCGTCTCGCCCTGTGTGCAGGGACAGCTTCAAGTAAATGCAACTGGGCTGCCCTGCTGGGCTTCACTTGTCCACTTGCAGCACAGAGCAGGGCCATGCAGCCCTGCACAACCACAACAGCTTGCAGCCAAACCCTGGACAGAGAGGCAAATGGGTGCAGGTTGCATATGTGCCAGGCCTGGACAGGTTCTTCTGCCAGCATTTCTTATGCAGCGTATCCAAGAGAGGACATACTGGGTGCACAACTGGATTTAAAAAAAAAAAAAAAAAGTTATGCCATCAGATTAATAGAATTATAGACCCATAGAATATTTTAGGTTGGAAAAGACTCTTAAGATCATAGAGGCCAACCGCAAACCTAACACTGCCAAGTCCACCATGAAATCATGTCCCTGAACACCACATCTACATGTCTTTTAAATACCTCCAGGCATGGTGACTCAACCGTTTCCCTGGGCAGCCTGTTCCAATGCTTGACAACCTTTTCGGTGAAGAAATTATTCCTAATACCCAATCTAAACCTCCCCTGGCGCAACTTGAGACTATTTCAGTGGGAGGACGGGACGGGACAGGGCAGGACGGGACGACACAGGACAGAGTGAGGAACAGAGAAAGCCCTGATGCTGTGCAAACACTGTTCAGCAAAAGCTAGAACATTAATATGTGGTCAGCACTGGTTTGGTCAAAAATCTAAAACACAGCAGTGTACTGTTACCACAGCTTCAGGCAGAAACGAACCCTCTAAGACTTAGTTTGAAGTTTTAGAAGGTAGGCATTCTTTATTACAGTGCCAGACACATGGGGGATTGCTCCACCCAGCGTGCATGTCACCTTAAAAGGTGTAACAGAACATTTCTTTCTACTTGTTACTCAAGGCATCAACTCCCCCCTTTTCTTGAGACTTTGGACTTACAAATCCAAGGTCTCAATACCTGTATCTTATTTTCATGTGCATTTCAGTATAACACCGAATCATAATGCAAGTTAAAACACAAACGCAGATTATCACAATTATTATAACTAACAGACTCTTTAACCAGGCCTACCTTTTGTAGCCATGAGGTAAGTTTATGCCATATTTCTTCAAATCTTTGGAGATTCTGCCACTTTGATTTACATACATGCAACAGCTTCTTTGTCTTACCCTTGCGAAGCTAATAATAAGGTCAGGGGTCATCCAATTTTGTAATACCATTTGAAATAAGCTAGATATCTCTATTTGTATCTAAGTAATTTTTGTGTTAAAATTAAATGGAGATTTTGACTCCATTGTGGGTCTGGCCAAACTGGACTCATGGCTCTCACAATCATCACACAAAACATAAAACCCAATCATGATCTTTTCAATTTCAAGAGGAGACTGCTGTTCCACTATCCACAGAGTAGGAGCCTTCTTGACCTTCTAATAGTGGATCTATGGGCCTTTGCCCCAAACCTTAACTGCCATGTAAGCTGTTAAGAGGACTTGGAATGGCCCTTTCCATTTCTCCCTCAGAGGTTCTGTGTTCCATGATTTGACATAGACCCAATGTCCAGGCTGGAAAGAATGTGCAGGTGTGTCAAGTTCCAAAGGTCTACTTATTGTCACTTACTTCTAGAGCTTCTGCAAAGTATTCCCTAGAGATATTGTCTTGCAGTTTAGTTCCCCCATTATATGGGTGGTACATGGCACATGTGAAGCCTGGTAAGGTCGCCCACACAACAGCTCATATAGACTCAAATTACCCTTTCCACGAGGTTGGTTGGATTCTAATCCTCAACAATACTAAGGGTAATGCCTGCACCCAAGTCATTTATGTTTCCTGACAAATTTTTCCAAGCTGCCATTTAAGCTCCATCCGTTCCACTTCACCGCTGGATTCTGTCCTATAAGAAGTGTGATAACCCCAGGTTATAGACAGAGCTTTACTCAACTGTTTCACAATTCCAGCAATAAAATGGGGCCTATTATATCTGATGGCATCCCCAGAGGTACACCAAATCATGGGATGATTTCTTTTAGAAAAGTTTTAACTACCTCTTTTGCTTTGTTGGTACAACAAGGGAAAGCCTCAGGCCATCCAGTAAAAGTGTCCACTAGAACCAAAATATATCGATACCTTTCTATCCTGAGTAATTTGGTGAAATCTATTTGCCAATAATCTCCAGGGGAATTTCCTCCCTTAGTCACCCCCAAAACTATTTTATTGCTAGTGTTCGGGTTGTTCCTGAGGCAAATTTTACACTTTTCTGTGACAGACCAAACAATTTCTTCATGGTCCTACTTATAAGTGTTTTCTGGAGGTGCTTTACTAAATTCTCCGTTCCCCAATGTACCCTATTGTGTTCTTTTTCAGCAATTTCTCTCATTAATGAGGGTGGAACAATTACCTGTCCAGTGGGTATGATGGCCCACTCTCTCATCCATTCTTTGGACTGTAATTTAGTTACCAGTTTGTTATATTTTTCAGTTTATTTTGGTTGTACTTCTGGTAAAGCTATTCCGTTCTCAGGTACCAGGGCTAGGATGCCTTTTTCTGCAGCATATTTGGTATCAAGGGGGATACAGAAAAAGGCATCTTTCAGGTCTAGAAATGTAAACCAACCCTGTCCCCAGTGAGAGTTGTTAACAATGTGTATGGATTTTCCATTACAGGATGAATATCCCAAGATACCTGATTTATTGCCCTCAAGTCCTGAACCAAACAGTGATCTTCACCATTAGCTTTTTGTACTTCAGAAATTTCCAAATTATTGGCACCAACCTTTTCCTAGCATCCAGTTTTAAAGGGTATTGTATGAGTCTTACTGGGGATGACCCTGATTCAAGGTCAGTTCATATGAGTTCTGCTATTTTGGATCTTCCCGGGACTTCTCCAGCCCACACAATGTGAATCACAGCATCTTCCAGTTCTGGAGGTATCTTTTTCTTTTCAGGGGTTACATCCTGTAGCAACAAGGCTGCTGCCTTAACCTATTTAGTTTCCAGAATTAAAATTTCTACTTCTCCAACCTTAAACCTAATCTCTGCTTCTAATTTCTCAAGCAAATCTCTCCCCAGTAATGATTTTGGAGAATCTGGCAAATACAAAAATTGGTGGGTGACCCAATGTTTTCCCAATTTCATTGTTAAAAGTTTGAAAAGTGGCCAAGTTTCACAAATTCCCATTGCACCAGTAAGGTTTATGTTTTTAGTGCTCAACTCTCCCTCTAAAGCATTTAAGACAGAGTAAGTAGCCCCAGTATGAACTAAAAAATTAATTTTCTCATTTCCCAGCTCTACTTTAACCAGAGGCCCTGCTGGGAGTGACTCCTCTGGTCCCCTTCAGTCCTCACAGATTGAGAGTAGGGCATCCAGAGGGGTCCTTTGCTCATGGAAGGGGCATTCCTGTTTCCAACGCACATCCTTTTTAGAACAGGCACACTGGGTTTCCCTTAAAGGGGATCTGCCGAGTTCCCTGGACGCCCTCCTCTGCTTCGTGTATTGTCTTCTAATAGAGCTACCAGTCTGCTATTTGTTTTCTCCTGATTCTTTCTGTTCCTATATGCAATCCAGGCAGCGCTCAATAATTTTCCCCAGTTGCGAGCATCATTTCCCTGAAATTTTTGTAGCTTTCTTCTAGTATCATCTGAGGATTGTCCAGCGAATACGTGAGCCAACTGTCCTCTGCCTTCTGAATCCAGATCCGTGTCAGTGGATTTGAGAGCAGCTTCTTGTAACCTATTCCCAGAATTTGCAGGGGATTCCTGCCTGTGTCGCTTACTTTCATAGAGGCAGACATGTTACCGGCCCATGGCACCGGTGCCGCAGGCCGGCCCCCGCCCGCCACCGCCACCCGCCTCTGACCC